CCCAAGGAGCAAGGAGTCAGAGCCCAGGGTTCCAGTGCTAGGAAGAGAAGCCCCCATAACTTCTGCCTGTGAAAAGCAGTAGGGACTGTGGCTGAGTGCGAGAGGGATTCTGGAGTCCCAGGCATTCCTCCGAAAGGGCCTACACATGCCTATGGGGACTCATTAGCTCTGAGCTCCAGCAGAGGCCATTGTTCCTTTTTAAAAAAAGATTTATTTATTTATTTTTAGAGGGGAAAGGAGGAGAGGGGGAGAAACATCGATGTGTGGTTGCCTCTTGTGTGCCCTCTACTGGGGACCTGGCCCACAACCCAGGCATGTGCCCTGACTGGGAATCAAACTGATGACCCTTTGATGAGCCCTCCCCTACAAAGCTCAGTCATATATAAGTCTCCATCAAGTTGGTCAACACTCCTCACCTTGTCCCAAGCAAATGGTGGAAACTTCCTTAACTTGGTGAAGGAAATAGACATATAAGTCCAGGAAGCATATAAAGTCCCAAACAAGATGAACCCAAAGAGGCAAGAGAAAAGGCATTAGTTACCTACAAGGGAGCTCCCATAAGACTGTCACCTATTTCTCAACAGGAACTTTGAAGGCCAGAAGGGACTGGCATGAAATATTTGAAGTGATGAAAAGCAAAAACCTACAATGAACTCTACCCAGCAAAGCTATCATGAAGGACAGATGAAGACCTTCCCAGACAAGAAAAAGCTAAAGGAGTTTATCACCATCAAACCAGTATTATATAAAATGTTAAAGGGTCTTCTTTAAGTACAAAAAAAATCTCTCTCTCTCTCTCTCAAATCAATAAACATCTTTAGGTGAGGATTAAAAAAATGATAATAAAATTTAAAAAGATATAGCATGGCTAAATGGATAAGAAAACAAGACCTTTACATATGCTGTCTACAAGAGATGCACTTCATGTCCAAAGACACACACAGACTCAAAGTAAAGAGATTGAGATATTTCATGAAAATAGTAACAAGAAAAAAAAAAAAGCTGGGATAGCAATACTTACACCAGACAAAAGAAAGTTTAACACAAAGGCCGTTAACAAGATACAAAAGAACCCAGCAATACCACTTCTGGGTATTTAAAGAAACCCGAAACACTAGTTTGAAAAGACACATATACCCCATGTTCACTGCAGCATTATTTATAGTAGCCAAGGTATGGGCATGGCCTAAGTGTCCATCAATAGATGAATGGGTAAACAGGTGGTACATACATACATACAATGAAATATGACTGAGCCATAAGAATGAAATCTTGCCATCTGCAACAACCTGGACGGACCTAGAAGGTATTGTGCTGAGTGAAGCAAGTCAGAGAGAGGCAAGTGCCATGATTTTACTTATATGTGGAATCTAAAAAACAAATGAACAGAACAGAAACAAACTCATAGATACAGAGAACATTTTGATAGTTTTGAGGTGGTATGGGGGGTTAGGTGAGAAGGTTGAAGGGATTAAGTACAAAATTGGTAGTCAGAAAATAGTCACAGGGCCCTGGCTGGAGTGGCTCAGTGGATTGAGCACTGGCTTGCGAACTGAAAGGTTGCTGGTTCAATTTCCTGTCAGGGCACACGCCTGGGTTGCAGGTTGGGTCCTCATTTGGGGACAAACAAGAGGCAGTCAGTCAATGTTTCTCTTTCTTTCTCCCTGCCTTGTCCTCTCTCTGAAAATGAATGAAATCTTTAAAAAATAAGTCCCTCTGAAATAGTCATGGAGATATAAAGTATAAAGCACCACATAGGGAATATAGTCAGTATACAACTGTACAGTGCCAGGTGGATACTAGATTTATCAGGGTGATCACTTGATAAGTTATATAAATGTATAATCACTGTTGTATACCTGAAGTTAATATTATATGTCAACTGTAATTGAAAAAATAAAAAAAATTAAAAATTAACTTTGCTTTTTAATAGGATAATCTGAGTAAAGAATCAGTCTTCAAAATTTTTCTATAGAATTATATCATTGTTGAAAAACAAAAAATAAATGTAAGTAACAAAAAAAAAAAAACCCTAAGAAATTAATGAGAAGAGTGGTATTTGCAGATTATCTGTAGTATCTGGTTTAACAGCAGATAACTAAATTCTCTTATCTAATCCTAGTCTGTTGTGATGTCACAAAGCCTTAAAACCAGAGATATTATTATATACCATTTAAGTCAAGTTCAAATTAGGAAAAACCAGACGTCAATAACTTAAAGAAGGAAAACTTAATAAAAGCAGCTACTACATTACCTCTGGACCTGAGGGGAAGGTGAACAAACTGTTCTCTTAGCTCAGATTCAGACCTAAAGAACTCCCTTTCCCTTGCTGCAATTTCACCCTAATTCCTGGGGTAATGAGGACACTTATTGCTTCACACCTTTCCCATATATTTGTTATATCGTATGTTATGAGTCTAACATACAATATAGTTGTCTTCCAACTGATTAATCCCAAGAACTTGGAACAGTGTCCAGCACATAAATATCCAGTAAGTTTTAAGTGTCAAAATATTCTTTTGCTTTTCCCCAATTATTTTAAAATGCAGAAATCTAGTTTATAGGCCGTACAAAAACAGGTAGCAGAAATCTGTCAATCTCTGATTCAGGTGATTCCTACTCATACTGAGGAAGAGCATATAAAGATGCTATTTATTTTAAAAGAATGTGCTACCTTCAGGCACGAGGATGACTCATATGCACTCCCTGTAACAGAAGGTATAAAAGCCACTAGCCACTTAGTGTTATATAATTACAATTAAATAAAATTTTAAAAATCAGTTCCTGCAGCTTTCACTGAAGCCAAGTCTAGCCAAACCGAGCGCCCGCTGCGTGCGCCCCCGCTCCATGACCGGCCTCACCTCCCTGGAGGCCGTGAAACGCAAGATCCAAGCGCTGCAGCAGGCGGACGAGGCGAGGACAGCACGCAGGGCCTGTAGCAGGAACTGGATGGCGAGCACGAGCAAGCCGAAGGGAACGTGGCAGTTCTCAATCGATGCATCCACCTCGTTGAGGAGTTGGACATGGCTCAAGAATGACTGGCCACAGCCCTGCAGAAGCCAGAGGACGCAGAGAAGGTTGCCAATGAGAGCAAGAGGAATGAGGGTGATAGAAAACCGGGGCAGGGAAGACGGCAAGATGGAGATCCAGGAGCTGCAGCTCAAGGCCAAGCACACTGCAGAGGAGGCTGACTGCGAATACCAGGAGGTAGCTGGTAAGTTGGTCATCCTGGAGGGCAAGCTGGAGAAGACAGAGGAGCGTGCTGAGGCGTCGGTACTAAAATGCAGTGACCTGGAGGAAGAACTCAAGAAATGTCACTAACAACCTGAAGTCGCTGGAGGCTGCCTCTGAAAAGTATTCTGAAAAGGAAGGTTAAGTATGAAGAAATTAAACTTGTCTGATAAACTTAAAGAGGCTGAGACCCGTTCTGAATTTGCCAAGAACAGTTGCCAAACTGGAAAAGACAACTGGTGACCTAGAAGAAAAAGTTGCCCAGGCCAAACAGAATGTGGGCTTACATCAGACACTAAATGAACCTAATGGTAAACCAACACCAGAGTCTTGCTCCAACAGAAGCTCCAGATCTTTCTCTTCTCTTGTACCAAGTTTTTGTTACTGCATCTACACGAATTATGAATAGCTGACTAAATACTTTGCATCAGAGGTTTGAGCACCAGTTTAATCTAATTCCTTCCCCTTTTTCCCGAACGGCACCAGATTTTTCAGATGTATTTTTATTCTTAAATTGCATTTATTTCTAAGCTAGGCAGGGGGTTTCTTATTGAACATTACTGTTTTAAGACTGAAGGCTTTTGGATCCTGGGAGCTTAGACTCTAATATCTAGTCACTGGTCAATTTAAAAGGTTGAAGAACATGCCCTGGATGGTGTGGCTCAGTGGATTGAGCGCAGGACTGCAAATCAAAGGGTTGCCAGTCGGGTTCCCAGTCAGGGTACATGCCTGGGTTGCAGACCAGGCCACCAGAGGTAACCACACATTGATGTTTCTCTCCCTCTTTTTTCCTCCTTTCCCCTCTATAAAAATAAATTTTAAAAAATTTTAAAGCATTATCCTCTCAAAAAAGTTTGAGGAACAGAACCTCTCTGCCACCACTGCACCCTACAGGAGGCCAGGGACCAGCGCATTAAAACGGGCAATTTTCCATCCAGAGCAGAAAAAGGGGGATTAGGCTATTGTGGAAACCCATAAACCCATAGATATATTAACCTAAGCATTTCCTTTTCCATACTCTACCATGCAGAACAAACATCCTCTGAACAGTCACCACGAGAATGCTTGAGAAATAGTCCTACCATTTACTGATATGAGGCCATCCACTCAGCAGGAATGAATACGGTAGAACTCAGTTCTGTTTAGGAAGCCATATCAAAAAAAATACTGCTAGCCATCAATAATTGAGCAAGAGCGGTTTTCTATTAAGTATCGGGCAGAAAGGTCCTCACTGGCAGCAGAGATAAAGTAACGCCTACCTTCATCTCCTCTGTGCTTTAGGGAATGGTAAATTGAAGATTTACTTATCTAGGACTTTAATGTCTTTGTCAGGACCAAGTTAATAAAAGACCAGGAAACTCCTGATTCAACAGGATATGGAGTATTTTACAGCCAGGGCAGCACATTTGGCTTTGTTGTACTTTTGCTTTTTCAGTTAACATCACAGCTGAAACTTTCCATATTCCCCAGCAGTGTGGGGAGCTAGCTTCCCGACTCCTCTGCCCTTACCCTTCACTATTTGTTGCTTTCCACACTACCGAGGAGATACACTAGAAAATTGTGTAACTGAATAAAATCCACTCTTTACTTAGATTGCAACTGTATCATATGTAATATTATCACTTCTTATATTTTGGTCAAATAAAACTTTTTACATAAACTAAAAAAAAAATCAGTTCCTTACTCACACTAGCCATATGAAGTATGATACTTAGTAGCCAGAGAACATTTGCATCATTGAATACTCACAAATCAGAATACAACAGTGGTTTAAATCGCCTCACATTTATTAATGAACTAACCTACTACCACTGCAGGAAAAAAAATCAAGAGAAAAATCATTTTTCCAACAACTTCCCAATTAAAATGCCAGACTGTCCAGACAGTAGTAGTCTTTTCTGTGATTTCAAGAGGCAGACATGAATAGAGAGCATAAACATGTGAGCCATCTCTGATGTGCCCTTCCTTATAGAACCAGTTTTGGTTCTTCTCCAATGTCATGCGTGTTTCCTTAAAGACCCAGTTTGGTTCTTCTCCAATGTCTCCTCTTGGAGTTGTACCTATACAGAAGGAAACTGAAAGTTAAAGACAGCCTGACCTCAGTTTAGCTGCTCTCAACAACATAAACTTTGCCCTTTAAGCACCATAAAAGCCTTGAAAGGCAAAAGGTCCCACTTTTTCCTTCCTTAACAAGTTTGGAGCTCTTTTTGGAGAGTAAAAAATGATTTGCTAGATGTTTAAGAACTAGTCAAATCAAATTTTTACCTCTCAAAATGATTCCAGGGTATAGGAGCAAGTGGGGAAGCTTTCCCTTCCCCGAGTGTACACTCACCTACCTTTGATTCAGCAGACCTGGGGCAGACCCAGACAGACACATGTATATTTTGAACCCCCCTCCTTTCTGTAGAAATCAAAAAGTCATTTCCACATAATGGGTCACACATACACATAAAAGCTCCTGTATAATTTTACACATTAACATCCTCAGTCACTTCAATACCGACACAAATGATTTGCAGTGGTAAGGCCATCTCAGAACTGTCCATGTCAGTCCGTCATGATATTACCCTTGAAGGCAAAATCAAAGATGGTCAACACAAGATTTTCTTTCAGCAGGATAATGGCAGTACTTCCACAAAATGAAGCACTGTAATTGCAACCTGCTTTCAATACTTTTTAAAGATTTTTTTTTTATTTTCAGAGAGGGGGAAGGAGGGAAACATTGATGTGTAAGAGATGTATCAATTGGCTGCCTCTCGCACACCCCCAACTGGGGACCTGGCCCACAATCCAGATTTGTGCCCTGACTGGGAATTGAACCAGCGACCTTTCAGTTCGCAGGCCAGCACTCAATCCACTAAGCCACACCAGATAGGGCTCAATTCATTTTTTATCCTCACCTGAGGATATGTTTACTGATTTTTAAAGAGAGGAAGGGAGAAACATTCATCTCCTGCATGGGCCCCAACCGGGGATCAAACCCGCATCCTTTTTGGTGTATGGAATGACTCTCCAATTAACTGAGCCACCTGGCCAAGGCTGCTTTCAATACATTTTAAAAGGTGGAAGACAGCTGAGACAATAGAAAAATCATTCTGTTGTGCCAAGAGTGTGGAATGCTAAAGACAAAGTCTATGGAACAAGAGACTAATCTTGATCATTGTAGGTACCCTTCTCAGTGAAGGCACTGAACTTCACATAGATTTCTTTAATTCCTTAAAACAACCTATAATATAAAGGCAGGCCCCACCATCACTGGACAGAGAGGCTGATGATCATGTTGATATGTTAAAAGGGGGAGTGTGAGGGGCTTTAGTATGGATGTCTGATGCTCTCAACAGAATTCCATCGAACTTGTAGCAGCGCTGAGCTGCCAAACAAACCACTTCACCAAGTGACTCAATGCTTTTTTCTCAGTATTATATGATGGTAACACCACATGCTTTACATTCTAGCTGTAGCCCTGACTGGTATGGCTCAGTTGGTTGGGCATCATGCCACAAAGCAAGAGGTCACAAGTTTGATTCCTGGTCTGGGCACACGCCTAGGTTACAGGTTTGGTCCTGCTCAGGCAATACAAAAGGCAACCAAACGATGCTTTTCTCCCTTTTTCCCTCTCTTCCTCTCCCTGTAAGAAACAAATATTTAAATTCTAGCTGCACCAGTAACAATAAGACATCTCCTACACATTAACATGCATAAATAAAGACTAACGTCTAGTACCCAATAAACCAAATGTAGCAAACTGGCATATAGCGGACAGCAATTTTCACATGTCGCTGTTTAACACACCAGGGATGTCACTGGTTGTGAGCCCTTGGAGTTGGCTTAGATGACCTTGGATTGAAGGTCCTTTGAAGTATATCTACTGTAGTAATATCTTTCTTCCGAAGCCATCGATCCAACTACTTCAGAAGTGGAGGACAATATTCCAATCTTTAAAAACAAACATTTCAAAGACGGATTGGATAAGCATCATGGTCTTCCCCACTGGGATGTGTAATGAGACAGCCTTCCATTTCACCCTCCGGCCCATACTGAAGACAACCAGGAAATTAACAAATATTGGAAGAGAGCCCGTCTGTAAGTCCAGCTGTGGGGCTGTGTGTGTGCTGTCCAGAAATCCAGAGGAAGCTCATTTCAAAAAAAGAATTTCAGGATGGTGGTACAGGGTAAACTGGATTGTATATTACTTTTAATTGTATATTTAGGCCCCAAAAGCAATCTTAAAAAAACAAAACAGGAGGGTGGTGTCCTTACCTGATTTTATTACCAGTTTTCATCCGAATCCATTGGGGAATGGGCCGATTCTGCTTTTGTTTCTTGGCCAGGAACCTCTTGATCCTGAAAGTCTTGTGAGAAGACTGGAAAGGATATTCAATCAATTTACACAGTTAATACCAGAACTTGCTCAGAAGATTCAAAGGCAAGAATTCCCTCAATCCAACAAACATCTGACTGCTTAATATAGACCAAAAACAACCCTCCCAATGCCAAACCCCTCATGCCCTTTGTTTTGTTCCTTGCAACTTCTCTGGAGGCAGATGCCATAATTCCTACTGTTCAAATAAAAAAAATAAATAAACTAGAGTCAGGAAGGTATGTAAACTAACCCCAAAGTTAAAAGTATTACTGTGCAGAGCTGAGATTCAAACCCAGATCCTCTGTGTTCTGAGGTAAGGTTACCTTCCAGTCTTCCCTACAAGGATTACACAGGGGATGATTGAGAGCTAGAGAACTTGGTTTTCAAGAACACAGCTCTTAGTAAAGCAAATGATGTGTAACATGCAAGTCAGGAAGTCTCAATGCCCTTCTTTTTGAAACAGGAGTACCCACTTTCCAGGCTCACTGTGAGATTAAGATTTATACAACGTCCTTTACATTCAGTATATTTGTTCTAACCCGCTGATCATTTTGATACAAATGCCAACGCTATTTTTATTAAAGATTTTATTTATTTTCGGGGGGGGGCATCGATGTGTGAGATACATTCATCAGTTGCTTCTCATGCGCCCCCTACTGGGGATCTGGCCCCCAACCCAGGCATGTGCCCTGACCGGGAACTTTACAAGTGACTTTTGGGTTCACAGGCTGGCGGCCAATCCACTAAGCCACACCAGTCAGGGCCTAATGCTATTTAAAATGGCACTTTTTCAAGGATGACTTTCCCCATTTCTCTTTGCATCTTTTGGCTTTCATGAAGAACACTGGTCATCTAAGTCCAACCACAACCACCCCACACTCGTCTGCAGTACAATCTAAAGAAATGCCACGAATGCTGGTCTAAAGTCTGGCAAATGCGGCCCAACACACCCTTAAAAAACAGGAGCCATCATAAAAAAGATTACACCCCTCTCCCCCAGCAGTTGTGAATTAAATTTCCTGTCAACTATTAAAACCATAAAACACCAAATACTGATCCTCTCCATACCTAGAAGCCTATAAAGAATCTCGACTTCTCGCCCTGCCTAGGGTGGCTCAGTGGATTGAGTGCCGGTCCGCGAACCAACAAATCGCCCGGTGGATTCTCAATCAGGGCACAAGCCTGGCTTACGGGCCAGGTTTCCAGTAGTGGGCACACAACAGGGCAGCCGCACATTGATGTTTCTGTCCCTCTCTTTCTCCCTCCCTTCCCCTCTCTCCGAAAATAAATAAAAATCTTCAAGAAAATAATTTTATCTTCTCAGGGAACTGTTACTGGAAAAAAACCACAACAGTGACTGTCCGCAGTTGGCATTTTACAAAGAATGCCCAGTCGACAAATAGGTTCACGTCACAGCACCCCTTGTTCCAGGCGCTTCCAGGGGATGAAGCTGAAGTCCTTTAACAAAAGACTAAAATGTCCTGGAAGCTCATAATACGGTAGGGTCCTGGCCGCAAAGTTAAAAAAAACTTTACGAAAATCAGCACCCCACATTCCATTCTTGATGCCAGGTACTCGTCGCAGGCTGCCCACAGTTAGGCCTTGATTTCTGGGGTGCCCCCCCGACTTCTGTCTCAGAATTACAGTCTGCTGCGGGAGAGAGGCGAAGGGAAGCGGAGCCCTGATCATCTGGGCAGCAGCCTGAAGCACAGTGCACCCGTCAGACCTCGTGGCGCCAGCGTAGCACGCTCCTTCCCAGGTGCTTCATTGCTCAGTTGCTTCCCGCCAGGCCTGCCAACTGGAGCGGTAACCAAACTCGACCTTTCTCGCAAAAAGCCTCTAAAAGGGCCCCGCACCCCGGCTCATTCCACGGCGCAGCCGAGCTCGCGGGAGACCTCAAACCTCGGGAGGTCACCCTCGCGCCGATGGAAAAGGATGGACTTACCATGGCGAAGAAGAATGAACCTCACGTACCACGATGGCGGAGAAAAAGAAAGGAGGAAGCGGAAAGACGTGTTTACGCTGTGCACTGCTGGGGGAGGGCTTGAGGGGCGGTGCCGGGGCATTGACGCAATGCCTTCACCACCTCCTCCGGACTGGCTCCTCCCCTTACGCGCTCCCTTGGACCTGTGGGAAACCGGGCTCGTTCCTAAGAAATGAAATTTGCTATGAGTGTGTTCTGTACGTGGCTCCCTTGGAGTCCGTCATTGCGCCGGGGGCATCTGCTTCGTGGATGAGGACGATAACCATTATAAATACCAAAGCAGAAGCCCTTCGGAAGGCAGACGGAGAGGAGTGGGCGGGTCTAACTCTAAAGGAAGGGGTGGGATATCAAGTTTGAGCGCAAGGGATTTCCGCTTGTTTTTGGGTTGTGGCGCGTGAGAGACAGGGGTGGGAACACGTTTTCTCAATAGCTTGAAATACAGTTGACCCTGGAACAATACTTTTTTGAATTGTGTGGTGTGCCCACCTATACGTGGATTTTTTTCAAACTGTGGAAGAAAAGGGGCCACATATTAACCTGACAGGCTTATGGAGGCCTGCGTGTCAGCCTTAAACTCAAAGACCTAAATTACCCACTAAGGATGGTCTGAATGAACATTTATTTCCCTTACTGGTGTGGCTCAGCGGGTTGGGCGGTGTCCAGCAAACGAAAAGTTCCTGGGTTTGATTCCTGATTAGGGCACAGGTCTGGGTTGCCAGTCAGGTCGCTCGTTGGCGTGGGAGAGACAGCGGATAATTGTTTCTGTGGCACAGCCAAAGGCACCACCCCAGAGGGAGACAAAAAAAATCCTCTCAGTGTTACTATTATCGTGTTAATTGTTGACTGTTAATTATCCTATACCCACGTATCTAAAAGTATGTGTCTATCATTTTACTTTTTATCCTAATCCCAAGGGTTTCTCCCTGCCCACCCAGACAGCTGTGCATTCTCCTGCCTCCCTAATCCATCACCAATGGATTTCATGTAATCCTGATATGTCCTCTCTTTTGATCGTAAAATATGAAGTATGGTGCAAAACCGCCATTTTCCAGAGCATTTTCTCAATCCATTGAGATTTTGTTTCCTGGCAATTGTCATCAGTTTGGCTCAAGTAAACTCACAAAAATTCTCTACAAGATTGAGTGTTTCTTATATTGACAAAACAATATACAGTCAGCGCTCTGTGTCCCCGAGTTTCACATCTGTCGATTCAACCCAAACAGTATTTTCGATCCAGTTTGCAGTCCTTGGATGCAGATGTGGAGGGCCAACCGTATGCATTGTTCTACAACTGTATGCATTGTTTTATGCCATTTTATATCAGGGATTTGAGCGAGCACCTGTGGATTTTGGTATAGTGGCACGGGTCCTGGAACCAGTCCCTTGGCGGATACCAAAGGAGGACTGAGTTTTTGAGGAGTCAAAAGTTATGTGGATTTTTGACTGGCAGGGGCTGGACCAGGTGGGCCCTGTAAGCCTAGAGGCAGCTATAGAGCTGCCTAGGCCAGAGGTTGTCAGTCAAGGTTTTTAAGCTGAGAAAGTTCTGGACAGAGCCCTTTCTTTGGCTGCCAGGAAGCCCAGACTGACTTTGTAGTCCACCTTTGGCAAAGTGTACAGAAATTAATGACAGTGTTTTAGATGTTAATGTTTCCATTTTCATCTTTTTCTTCCTAATTAAAAACAGAACTCTCTAGCCCTGGATGGTGTGGCTCAGTGGGTTTGCCGCCAGACTGCAAAGCTTAAGGTTGCAGATTCAATTCCCAGTCAGGGCACATGCCTGGGTTTCAGTTCAGGTCCCTGGTTGGGGGCGTGTGAGAGGCAACTGACTGATGTTTCTCTTCCTCTCTTTCTCCCTCCCTTTCCCTTTCTCTAAAAATAAATAAATACAATCTTAAAAACAGAACTCTTTATGTATCTTTGCAGTCACCTCAAGTATTTTTGCAACAATACATTAAGGTAAGGGTTTTTAACCTGGGATCTACAAGGGTCCAGAAGAATTCACAGGGTACATGAACTTGGATGGTTTGCTTCATTTTCATTAAACTCTGAAATGTAGTGCTTTCTTTATTTACAAATGTAGGCAACAAACTGCAGTGGCATTAGCAGTACCTATGTCTTGATCACCAATAGAAATCAGATCATTTTATATCATATTGAAGTTGATGCTGTGGGGTTAGAAAAATAATTTTCCTCTCATCTTTCTAAATTCTTCTGGCTGGACTAATCAGATTAACATGGGACATTAACAGGAGACAAAGGACCAAATTTATTACATCAGTACCTACAGGGGTTCCATAAGAATATAAGATCCAGTGACTCATTGGGCAATTGAGGCTTTTATGCCATTCTGGATTAAGGAGAGGGAGACAGGTCTGGGACTTCAAAGGGAAAGTAGGCAACTCACGGGTAGATGAGAAAGAGCAAACGTTTGGTAAATAAATTTTTGCCTAGTTGCCCAGAAACAATGGGGAATCTAACAGACTTTGCAGGTTCCTCCCTGTCTGCCACACTTAGATCTTATGCTTATTATTAAGGTCTTCCTTTAGGCACGTTTTTATATCTGAATTCCTTTAGGCAGGTAAAAGGAAAGGTAAAAAAAAAATTCTTGTTGAGTTTGTTGGACTTGCATTGTTTTCATCTTGAAATAATCTACATGCCTACAATGCAGATGTCTTGAAATATCACATATATATGCATCATTTGTTTGAAGTTACAGTAATTATAAGAACCATAAATAGAACTGTTAAGAAGCCCATGTGTTGCTAATAACACTCATTTCTTTTAGAAAATATTTTGATAGCTATATTGCAGTGTAATTGGTTTTCTTTGTAATCCTATGTACTTTGTTTTTTTTTTTAATCATCGCTGAGGATACGTTTATTGATTTTAGAGAGAGAGGAAGTGAGGTCGGGGAAAGGGAGAGAGAGAGAGACATCAATGTGAGAGAGAAACAAATCGGTCTCCTGTAAGCACCTCAGCAGGGGATAGAACCTGCGAACTAGGTATGTGTCCTGACCGGGGATCAAACCCGCAACCTTTTGGTGTTCAGGATGACAATCCAACCAACTGAGACACCTAGCCAGGGCCTATGTACCTTGTTTTTAAAACATTCTGAAAAGAATTCTATAAACTTCATCAGACTGCCATCAGGTTCCATGGCACAAAAATCGTTACAAATCCTTACTTTGAAATACAGTGACAGATGGTAGAACAAATAAACTAGGTAGGAAGCTTTGGAAACAGTCTGGGCAAGAAAAGATGGTGGCCCAAAGTAAGATAGTCCCAATGAGGTTGAATAAGAAGAAATAAAATAAACAGATGATTGTGAAATAAAATTAACAGGATGTGGTCACCCGTTTCTGCCTTGGGCAACTGAATGATAGTGCCTTAGGTTTAGAGAGGAAATACAGAAGCCCTGAGAAGCTTGAGCCCAATTTCATAATTACTGTTTTTTAACAGTGAAAGTTTTATTACATTAATCCTATCCAGATAATTTTACATTTAATTGAAATGAGAGACTTCAGCTTTGTAACCTGAATTCATTCATTCTTTCTTTCTTTCTTTCTATCATCTATCTAATCTATCCATTCATTTATTTGCTTATGAACCAGTCTTTTATTTTTGGTGACCAAAGGAACAGCAAATAAACCCTTATTTGATTAAATTATCATCATCATTTTCATCATAAAAATCTAAGATTATTTCCTATCAACTTGAAGTTGATGCTGTGGGAGTAGAAAAATAATTTTAGGGCCTTTACTGAGGTGATTAAGTTAAGATTTAGGGTGTGACTGACACTCTACAACATACTAGCCATGTGACTTTGGGTACATAAATGAACCCATCTGTCCCTCAGTCTCCTCTTCTGGAAAATTGGGATAAATAATATTTCTTAACTCATAGTCCTGTGGTGAGGACTCAGAGTTACCAGTAGGATATGATAAGCACATCATAAGCCATGAGTTAAAATATACCCGACACACGGTTGCCACCAAGCTCAGTAAACAAGCAGCCCTGATTATTTTCATTCCCTTGTTTTGTAACCAGGCAGATAGTGCTAGGAACCATAAAAAAAGGGTACAAACAGTTACAATAATGTTGAAGGGGTGATGATTGACAGTTAAGGGGAGGAGGTAGCATTTGAATTCAGCCTTACAAGGTGAGTGGTGGTGTTATGGGCTGAATTGTGTTTCCGCAAACTCCACATGTTGGAGCCCTCATTCCCAGTACCTCGGAATGTGACCTTATTTGGAGGCAGGGCCTTTACTGAGGTGATTAAGATGAGGCTTGTCAGTGTGGGCCCTAGTCCAATCTGACTGGGGTCCTTATCAGAAGAGATGAGGACACACAAGGAGATAACAGGGGTGCATGTGTATGCAGAAAGGCCATGTGAGGACACAGTGAAAAGGTGGCTGGTCACCTGCAAGTGAAGCAGACAGGCCTCAGGAGAACCTCAACCTGCTGACCCCTTGATCTCAGATTTCTAGCTTCCAGAACTGTGAGAAATTTATGTTGTGTGAGCCCCCCAGTCTGTAGTATCTTGTATGGCAGCTGTAGCAGACTAATACAGGTGGGATCAGCACAAGGGGAGACAAGGGGAAGGGTGTTCCAGCCAGAAGGAACAGCATGCCACCAATCCCAAGAGTCAATGTGCAGTACATTCCGATTGGCTGGAGCCAGGAGAGGCCAGTTTCAGCAACTGGAATTCAACATAGCTGGGTCCCACAGGGGTCAGAAAGGACAATGGCTGTGACGAGGCTCCAGGATTTGATACAAGGTGTTTCTTGGTGCCTGCAAAAGTTGGGCAGTGTAGATGGGAGGTGGGGAAAGTGGCAAGAAGGGAAAAGAGTGGGTGATGAGGTTGGGCAGGGCTTGAAGGGGGATGTTTTTAGGATGCTTCGGTGTGAAGAGGAGATAAAAGGGCAGTGAGAGAATGGTGAGCTCAAGAGTTGGTCATTTCTGGTAGATCATGGAGAAGAAGACAGGAAGGAGAGACAATAAAGATGTAAGAAAACCTAGGTATAATGTATAGTGTGGGGGTCTTGGAGGGCATGGGAGAGGCTAAAGAGCA